AGAAGTGAACCAGTGTCATTTTATTATTATTTTTTCTAAACGGTTATAATGACAGCAGTGCATAATTGTGAAAGGTGAGGGTGGCGCGGAACGCGAGCGCGACGGGGAACGCGGACCGCCGCGACGCTGGGCACTTTCAAAATTGTATACTTAGGTACTCCGCACATTAAGCTCCTAATCATAGTAGTGTAATCGTTTCGGCATACTAAAGTATAAAGCTGTTATGCCGAACACATGTGTTTCAATGAAGCTCTGTACATTACGATTCAAAATCTTGTTTTCGCCTGAACATAAAAGCTTCATGAATCGAAGCGCCCAACATTGTAAGGCGCTTGTAGTTTTGAAATCTTCATTTGTTTACTTTTTTGTGCTGGAAATAAAATTTATTTGTCAATTCAATAGAAAATGAATAATTTCGTGCTAAAATTCGTGCAAATTGTATTAAACCACAAGCGTTTATGCAATATTTCGGAGCAGAAATATTTGCGGAAGTGCGTAGTTGCGAAAGAACGGCCAGAAAATTTGTTATGTGTATAAAGTGTTTATTAGCTGGTGACTTATGCACGGCGTGCAAGTGTACAGAAGTCGAGTCGTCATGCATTCGTTTCGGCATGATGAAACGATTACTCTACTTTGATTAGGCGCGTAATGTGCCCAGTGCCTTACAAATCCGTCCATTTAACTTTTTCATGTACTACTTTTTGTCAAATGTAACTGGGTCACTAAATACCTACATATGTATGTGCCCTATTTTGCTTTATTACTCAATTGTTAAGTTTAAAAGTTGGTCTTATTGCTCAACGAGAAATGAAATAAAGCAAATTTGTGTTTGTGCGAAGTCCGAGAAAATGCGACCCTGCTCGGTTAGCTTTACCATCCCTGGCTTCATCTGACGTAAGAAACATATACTTTGCAGCTAACCTAGCTATGTATATACATATTGTTTACTTTGTACTAGCAAGAATTCTTTCAATAAAATCTAAATCAGATATAGTCTTCGGCTTAGTGTTTTTTTTTTTGAAAACCGACAAACTTTTTACATTTTGGCAACCCTTGCGGGGAATCCACGGCTTTGGATACTCCGCTGCAA